AGGCACTTGTTACTACTAGCGTGGCACTTGTTCCTAGTAGCTTCTTGTTACTACTAGTAAGGCACTTGTTACTACTAGCGTGGCACTTGTTCCTAGTAGCGAACATTGTTACTGCTAGTTGTTTGTAACAAGCGCAGGGGGCGCACGGGGACGGAACTGAAAAGGACGCCACTGGCGTGCACAATTCCGATCAGCACGCAGGCCGTTTGATGGCTATGCGATAGAAGCACAAAGGCGCTCGCATAGCTGACACCAGTCACTTCAGCTGTACCACCCATTGGGTCATTCTTTCTAACGCTTCCCCAATCCTCAATCTGTCTACGGCTACGAAAGTTCTTCACGTCACGAGCACCTATTTCGTAGGTTCGGAGGCGAACACCGCTGGGTCTCCCCTCGAGGCTCTCAGAGTTAGACCCTTACGTCTCCGAAGGTCTCGAAGTTCCCCACACTTCTCAGCGTTCGAACTGTGACCCGCCAAAATGGTCGGGCATGCTATGGAGAAAGAGAAAAGCACATGCAATCTGCAACTGATTTCTTTGTTTGTGCTCTTCATTTGAGCCTACCACCAGCCTAGTCACCAGCCTCTGTGCCCGTCCAAAAACGGGCCAATCGCTGTGCATCTTTGAAAACTCGCCAGATCGTCTGTACATCCAAGCCTTCGAGCATCTCAATGCCCAGGGACATGAACATGGGATTTGCCAACATCCTTCGAAGCCTTCAAAAAGTCGTTCGTCTCACGTGATCTTTGGCCGAACATGGACAGTATTTTTCCACATTTGCAGAACCAGCTGGACAATTGGGGGAAAGCAATGCACCTGAAATGTCGATTGTGAGCGTCACAGAAACAAGACCGACACACAAAGCAAGCTACATACTGAAACCCTTCAAACCTTCATCCTACATGTCACAGCTCGCAAATGGGCTACCCTCAACCTGAGCAATTGCCATGAAATTGCCTTCCTCATGATAACCAACCTAAAACAAAACGGATATGGTACCACTATCCTCGAGCTGTGATGATGAATTGTCCGCTTCAGTTCAGTTACAGTAGGTCTGTCCCACGGATCTCAAGGACAGGCATGACGCCCAGCAGGATGGATAGGATGCCCAGCCGGCATGACGCCCTCTCGAGCTACTGCACACTGAGAAAAACATGTCTTGACAGGCTCAATCAAAGGCTCTCCATTTGCCAACTCGATGTCGCCTCCCACTCCTACTCTCTCACTCACTCTCTTCCCCCCTCTCTATACTTCAATGAACTTCTTTAATGCATCTGTATTGCCACACGATGCAGCTAGCAACCCATCGTCCCAACACAACAATCTCATCTGCCACCTAAGCGTGAATCTACGCATGGTGCAGCAGTGGTGTTCATTTCAACCTTATCATGGCTGGTATGTATATGAGCCATATAGGCATGGAATCATGGCAGGTAACTTTCCATGATTCTCCACATCATGTGCGATGTGCATGATGCTGGTCTTGACAATGCGGATGTGCGGCCATGTTGGTAAAACGGTTAATGAGCAAGCAAAGTCCCCTCCATAACCACTTAATTTACAAAATCGTTGGTTTTCCACTTTTATTTCAGGAAGTGTAAGGCATAAGCATCCCCATCAAGCAGGATTGCCACTATGACACCACTGCCGGCCCCATGAAGGACACAATTAAGGAGCAATACAATGTGCATCAGCCAAGCCTGGCATGTGGTCTCCTGTGTCCTTTCCACCAGTTTTGCATCCTGTTTCTGTTGCCTGTGGCCGCCACATGGCTCGTGTTTCTGGCACGCGGCGCCCATCAGTTGTGCAGAAGAACTCTTGTAGACCAACCAGGCCAACCATTGAACCAGCCTATCAAACTACCCCGTCCGCAGAAATGCTTAATCCAGTTTCATTGAGCAACGTGCCGCCTTGCTATGGAAATCTTTAGGGGATGTGAGCTCGCCAGCCCACCATTGCTTCGGCGTGGGCCGTGGGAAGCTGACTCTGAGAAACGCCACAATTCAGACAATGCACCGAAGAAAAAACCATCCGTTCTAAGGCCAATCGAATTGTACGTCAATATGACTTGCTGAGAAAACTGCAACCACCTAACGAGCAACAAGTGAATAGCAGTACCTATAAGCAGGCTGGTGGTTGTGGCCAACCTAAACTACACAATGTCAACCTGGTGGCACTTTTGCAAGGCGTGTGGATTGATGTAAAAGGAATCTATTTTGCGACAGAAGTTTAAAAGTTGATTGACTAGGTTGACATGAATCGTTGCCATATGCTCCTGGCTCAGCTCATGAACGGACGCGTGTCCGTTGTCGGCTCCATGCATTTGGGGTGTTCTCTCACATCCTTCATGCCACCGAAAGTGAGCATCGGATGAGGCCAGGAGAAACCTCAGCGGAGGCGGCTTCGGCAGCAATTGGCTGAGTCGGAGGCGCAACCCTGAAGGCATGGAAGCTACAGTACCACTTTCTCCCCAACTTCACAACTCAGAAGAGGGCTGCATCCTCCCCTAAATAGACCACGCTTTCATCCCTTTCAACGTCTTCAAACCTCAAAGGACCGGCTAGCGCGATGAACGAGTCCCCTCCGATTGAAGAACTTCTTCATCACCCCACTCGCAGCCGGTCCTGACGATGTCCCCTGCTAGGACGGAGGTCCGCGGCACTGCTGACACGCATGGTCAGACAGCGCATGATGTACAATGTGAGAAAGAACAAAACTAACTACGAGCACACGAACAACCACAGTCTCAAGGGGGAGAGTGCAGGGGGATCTCCCACGATGAAATATTAGTTTTCGAACATCCACTGTCCATAAGGCGGGCCAGACCAGTGAGCTCCTCACCCGAAAAAAAGGGACTGCACCCAGAAGGGCACCTTGCGGAAAGGCGCGACCTTCCGACTTGCGCGTTTGTAAGCAAGTCCGTCCTGGGAAAACAATTTGAGATTCCAACTTGCCAATGTATACGAACATCCGTCGCAACCAAAAGGCCAAGTCACGATAAGTAATGTTGTCTCCAGTGCAAGCTTCAAGTGAAAAACCAAGTTTGTGGAAGAGAAAAGCCAGCTCCATGTATGATGTGCAAAAAGCCGCCCCAACTCGCCATGCAAGCGATTTAGTGAATGCGGAACCAAGGAGGTGAGACATCAACATCTTGCGATGCCTTCCATGAAAAGTCGAGAATGTTCTGATTCCAACACCAGCGTGGGAACTTCTTCCGCAACAGAGCCCCTTCATCAACAAAAGGAGCGTCAGCAGCAGGTGTGCTAATTGTCTGGATCTCTGGTGTGGCAAGGTGATTCAACTGCGCTAAGAACGCGTGACGGGCA